TTGTATACTAAGTCTGGTGTAATTGATGTTGCATACTAACTTTGGTATAACTGATGCTGCATACTAATTTTTTATCACTGATACTGGATACCAATTCTTATATAAGTAATATGCATTCTAAAAACTTATATACGTAAGGCTTTTTAGCCAAAATGATCCTTTAGATTTGCATAACACATAAATTTAGTCCATAAGATTTGAAATCAATAGAAGTGGTTTTTGAGATTGTCTACCATCAATCATTTTGATCATTCCGTGCAATATTATGTTAAATAAGAATCAAAATAACAAATATACCCTCAATTTAATAAACAATGTGCCAAAATGATTTGACAAAAATTAAGGGTATTTTGGTCATTCTATTCTTATTTAATGAAGATTTTTCAAGGAATGACCAAAATGATTGATGGTAGGCAAACTCAGGGACCAATTCTATTAATTTCAAATCTCAGGGACCAAAGTGAGAAGTTATGTAAATTTCAGAGACCATTTTGACCAAAGTGAGAAGTTATGCACACCACCCCCTCCCAAAACTTATGACAACTGATTCTGCACGATTTTATGAACTGATGCTGCATAAATAATCTTCGCCAAATACTAAACTAACTCATAATCCATTCCAATTCTAACAGATATATATTATAACTATACTGTAAAAAACAAAAGAAACTTCAATGAAAAATAAAAGCAACACAACAAAAAATCTTCGCCAAATAAAAATCGAATCAAAATCTTTAAAACTAAAAAAACCGTGATTGTAAAAACAAAAAAAACTCAATGCGACCAATAAAAAACTGAAAAATTAGAGACTCTTTCAAAATCTAAACCGAAATAAATTCAAAAACACAACACTTTGAAAAATCTAAATCGGAACACATAAAATTTAGAGAGATGAACTTGAGAGAAACACTTACCTTCGAAGAAAACTTGAATGATTTGAATAGAAATTATGACGAAAGATAATTGAGGGATAAACTTCAAAAACTTGTTATCTGCAAGGTTCGCCACCATCATGAAGCATTAAAGAGAGCACTGAGCTATTATTTATTTATTTATTTATTTTGAGGAAAGCAAAATTGAAGATTTAAATTGGAAATTTACACCACACCAATTTCTTAACAAGAAAACAAGCGGAGCAGTGCCCGCTCCATTATGTTTGACGGCTTGGTGCAAACCGTTAGATTTTGTCCATGGATCGTGAGAGTAATTGGACTAGATTCACGGTAGAAAACGAAATATTTATTCTTACATTATATTTAGATAAGAAAAATAAACTTCAAATGTTGATAAAAATAAGAATTTATAAATTAACATACATGATATATCTTTGAATTTATAAATATAGAAATTTAAATTTCTAGGTGAAAAAAAACTTGTAATTTGTGACCTCAAATCCCAAGTTTAAATCCACATAAATATGTGTTCTTTATAATTAAGAGTTTAAAAATAACAAATCTTATATTAAAAAATTATTGTCTTTTAAGCTAATCGAACAAAAAAACATAACAAATGATTACATAACAGTCAATCACCAATATAAAATCTCTAGCTATAATATCGCTATATATTTTCTAAATTAAGGGGGCAAATATTGGCTATATTTGATGAAAACTCATTAAAATTCTATTTAGATGAAAATTATAGGTTCTTCCTCTTGGTAGTGGTGGTGGGTGGGCGATGGCGGCTCAGCTGCTGTAGTGAAGGCAACAATCTTTCAAATTTAGGGTTTCTGTTGTTGTGTACTTACTCTTTTTGAACTTTTTTTGTTGTATTTTTATTTGGACTTGGACTGCCTTTGGGCTAGTTTTGATGGCAAAAACCTTTTCGCGAGGAGGAGAAACACTTTAAAGGAGGACTTGAAGTTGGAGTGCTCTTGGAAAGCTCGTTGTTGGTCCACATTGGATTGGTGCAAATGACCCAATAACCGGGGAGATGGGTTGGGTTCATTGGATTACATAAGAAATGGGTTGGTTGGTTGGGTGTACGCTAAAACTATTTTATCGTATATTTAAGGATATCTTAATATTTAAGAAATTTTAACGAAAAACTTATGGTACAGTTCATTTTAACAAAAAATCATATTTTGTACACTAAAAAGTCAATCATGGTACTATTCACTTTACCCTTTATTTTGTCTTTATCGTTAAAACTCAAAGTTTTTAAACTTTTTTTCATTAGTTTTCCTTAATATTTAATATATGGCTTGAAATATTATTAATCTGATTGAAATTAACTTAACCGCTCTATGAAATGTGCATATAATGATTCTTAAACACTAATAATTTTTTTTTCTTTTAAAATAAGGGATAACTGGTGGCAAATCACGGTTAAAGTTATGAGAGATTTCACCTTAATGATGCCCACAGTCAAGCAAAATCCATTCCTTCCGGGTCAGGAGAGGCTATGAGAAATTTCATCATAACGATGTCCACAGTCAAGCAGACTCACCAGCTCGGAGCATCGAACCTAGAACTTCTCACATTTTTTTGTTTGTTGGGGAACCGCAATTCGCGTCCTTACCACGGGCCATTTGTTGTGGTTGCCAACACTAATAATTGACCTTATATATTCTCATGTGTTAAATGTTCGTTGGAAGAGAAAAGAAAACTAAGAAAAATTAATTTCATAATATTATCATTTAAGTAGTGTCATTAAATTTGCACGCGGTCAAACATCTTAGTGGTTAGTGTTGGTTTTCCATCTATGCGTCTTGGGTTAAAAACTCTTACTACTCACTTTTCTGAATTAATGTAATAGTTTCGAATTCTCCATCTTCCATTTAATAGTAGTAAATTTTTTTATTAAAAAAACAGTAATGTCATCAAATTTGTAATGTGAAATTCAGTAGAAAGTGGGTGTAAGTTGAAAAGGGTGACAACTGACAATATAAACACATAAAATAATAACTTAATTAGTGGATTTAGGAGGAATTATTTCCTATGTGGTCCACAGACAATGATAGCGCAACGTAAGCAACGGTGCTGACACGTGCTGCACATGTAGCTGTTCACCTTGTGGCTCCGTAAAAAACCACCATCTCCACCGTCAATTCTGATGACCACCAAATTCATCGACGGCCCAGGTGGTTTCGATTGGTCGGTCCAACTTGTCGCCGTCGTAGTCTTCCACCTGAATGAAATATTTCAATTGAGCCGTCCATTTCAGTCCATCGAAGCACCAAACATAGAACTTGAGAGTAACGTTTGCCTCTCCAATTCAGTCTCACCCCATAATCCACTCAAACTTCAGTCACAAAATACATGACCAAAAGTAGGCCTAGCAAACTTGTGACGTTTATCGTGTTTGTATCGTTTTCGTGTCACATTTGTTATTTTAACGGTCGTGTTGTGTTAACTTTGTTATTTTAATGAGTTTTTAACAGGTGATTCAGTAACGATCTAATTCGTTAATAGGTTATGTCATTTTGTATGGGGTTAACAAGTCATGCAAAAAATAGATCGTGTCATTTTGTATGGGGTTAACATGTCATGCAAGAAATTATCATGTATAATGTTTAGATCTGGCAAATAATATATTATTAGGTTCTTAACGTGTGATCCAATAACGATCAAACTCGTTAACAAGTTTTGACGAGCAACCCGATGACGACACAACTTGTTAGCAAGTTGACCCAAAATCTGTTATTTTCTTATTATTTCGTATTAAATTAAAACATCATGCAAGAAATTGTTGAACCAAACAAAACGGAATTGCAGTGCAATTAGATAAATCTATATGATAAATATTTGCATGTTTTTTTTAAAATTAGCAATTATAATAAATTAAAAGGAAAATGAAAAAAATTAGAGGGTGTGGAATAATGATCCATCAAATCCATTAAGACTAAGAGACAGAAAAATAAAAGAGTGGGCAAGATTCAAGAAAGAAGGAAAAGATTCCCTAAAAAAAAAAGGCTAAATCGCGAAAATAATTCCTGAAATTTGTATAACACATCACTTTGGTTCATGAGGTTTCAAATCAATAGAAGTGGTCCATGAGATTGTCCACCATCCATCATTTTCGTCATTCCGTTAAAAACTCTGTTAAGTGTCCCCGGAGCTCTTGGCCGGAAGTTTGGGCAATTTTCAAAACTTTGTAATTCAATCGTTTCTTAACCAAATTTGACCCATAATATATCAAAATAAAGATAGAAAAGTGTAGAATAAGATTATACATATTTAGAAGCCCAATGGTTGCCGAAGATGGCCATAAAATAGCCTCAAAGTTGACTGATCTGAGGGAAAACTGGAAAACTCACCGAAAATTGGGTAAACTTTAAACATTCATAACTTCTTCAATACTAAACGAAATCAAGTGATTCAAAATCGAAAATCATACTTCTCGAAATCGAAAATCATACTTCTCGACGAGACAAAGAGAATGGTATATTTTTTAGCGGCTAACTCACCGTGGTTTGGGCGGAAAACGGCTCGAAAGTGACTGTCTTAGTCTCGAGTTAGTTACTTTCGAGCCGTTTTTCGGCCAAACCACAATGAGTTAGCCGTCAAAAAGGTACCATTCTCTTCGTCTCTTTGAGAAGTATAATTTTTGTTTTTGAATCACTTGATTTCGTTGAGTATTGAAGAAGTTATGAATGTTTAAAGTTTACCCAGTTTCTAGTGAGTTTTCCAGTTTTCCGTCGGACCAGTCAATTTTGAGGCTATTTTCCTACCCTCAACAGCAACCATTGGGCTTCCAAATATGTATAATCTTATTCTACACTTTCCTATCTTCATTTTGATACATTATGGGTTGAATTTGGTTTAGAAACGATTGAGTTACGAAGCTTTGAAAATTGCCCAAACTTCCGGCCAAGAGCTCTGGGACACTCAACGGAGTTTTTAACTGAATGATCAAAATGATGGATAGTGGACAATTTCAGAGATCACTTCTATTGATTTGAAATCTCAGGGACCAAAATGATGAATTATGCAAATCTTAAGGACCATTTTCGTAATTTAGCCAAAAGAAAAAAATAAAAAAAAAGAAAAGAAGGAAAAGCAAATGAGTCATCAGCTTCGAACTTTCTCTCACATTATTCTTTACTCTCTGTCTCTCTCACTCCTCTTTCTTTCCCTTTATTTTTTTCTCTAAGCAGCTCTGAAACAAATGCAGAGAAGAATTTATGCCCCTCAAAATTCTCATTCAACTTCCGCACGGTAAGTCCCTCAATCCAATCCAGCTTTCTCTCTTACTTTCTGATTGGTCTCCCAGAAAATACACACAAAACAAAAATCAATAAATATCGGATCTTACCGTCACTAGTCTTGCAAACCGAACTTGTATTTATTTTATTATTATTTTTTGTTTATTTTTGTGGAGTTTTATGCTAAAGTTCTTGAATTTTTGTATAATCTGTGTGTTTTTGTGAATGATTGAAGGTGTTAAAAGGGAAATGATTAGGGAGATGAGCAAAGAGCACCCACCCGAGCCTCTTGATTTCTTCATTTGGACTGTTGAGGTAAACCAATTTCCAAACGTTTTTCCATTTTATTTGTGCCCTTGTTTGGAATTTGGACATATCTTATTCAATTAAGTAGATCTTGTTTCATTGGTGTTGGATATTTGTTGTTTAATTGTTGTTTAATTTTCATATTCTGTCAATTTTGTTTTTTGTTCATACATTTTGATGGGGTTCTGTTGAATTACATGTGACAATTGTAAAGTGGTAGGTTTTGGTTTTGGTGATTGTAGAACTGAGCATTTTAATCTGCTAATCATCTTTAATACTCGAAATATTAGGAAAATTTTGGGTTAGTTATGTAATAGTATGATTTGAGACAGAGGCTCAGGGGAAAAAGGGTAGAGGAACCTAGGAAGACTTGGAAAGAGACTAAAAAAAGACATGGAGTACTTGGTGCTAGCGGAAGACTTGACAAAACCAAGCGAAGCGGCGTTCTAGGATTCATACTGCCGGCCTCACTTAGGGGGATAAGGTTTTGTTGTTGTTGTATGTAATAGAATGATTTGCCAGCAAGAAGTGACCTTTTGAAATTCATCGATTTTTATTTGAGTCCATCTCATGTTGTTACTACTGCGAATAAGTGCCTTCCTTCACTCATCGGTTCATCCTTCTCTAGCTACTACTCTTCTTTAGACTACACACGATTTTATTTTTCCAGTGTATGGCTCTTTGGGGTGTCAAACCTTTGACTCCTTTGTAAGTTTATAAATTTGTATATAACTATCCCAAAAGTGATACAGAGCAAAATTTGGTTGCTGGTACAAGACCTTATTATCCTTTTCTGTTCACTTTAGTCAGTACCCTCCTCGCATTGGGTTATGGAAATTGGTTTTTCTGGTTGTAGAATGATGGGCTAAGTTTCTGTTTGCGCTGTACTATGTGAAGCAATGTCTGGTGATATGGATCAAGTCTGATAAATTGAAAAGAGGAAAATAAGTCTAGTTGCTCTAAGCTTTGTGCCCCGATCAATGCCTTATATACATCCTTCTTGGCCATCAATAAACAAGAAGATGTGTATGGCCGAGTCACATGCATTCTCATGTCTTTTTCCTATTGTGTACAGGATGTTGGTTTGTGGTTGGAAGAAATAAAACTGGGCAGTTACCGGCAAACTTTTAAAGAAAATGGTGTCAATGGAGAATACCTGGAAGGCATGTCAATGTTTACTACCGAGCAGATCCTTCGGTTTATAAGACGTTGCCACATGAAATGGGGAGATTTTATCACGCTGTGTAAGGAACTAAGGCGAATTAAAGGTTTGTACTTGCTCTCCTTTCTGTTTATGTATTCCCCAATCTGAACAAGGTTTAGGATAATCTCTCTGTCATATAGGGTTATCCAAAAGTAATACGGAGAAGCATGTATTTATTTTGATTGGGGACGTAGGTTGACTATGCATGCTTTGTTCATCTCATGCATTCATTCGGTCTACTGATAGCAATGACAATCTAACAGTACAAAAGTGGTATTGCGTGCCCCATTCAATAGCATTGCCAAACTCACTCGTGATATTGTTATCCTAGCAAGTTCAGAAGTTCAACCTATCCAGAGTCTCATTCCCTTGAGCTACATTTGTATTCCTTTTTCCTCTTAAATTTGAATTGCACCTAGATTCCATCTCTGTGCTGAAACCATTTGTATGTCCAGTGGCTTGCCTAAAAGGGGAGCAAAAGGTCCGCAGGCCATGGTGGGCGCCGTCTTGCCTCTCAGTAGTATTCGTCAAGGTGGCAAAGCGTAACAGACAATCACGTGTTGTTTCCTTGAAGCTGGAACCGTAAAGAAAGATCTTCTTATATGTACCTATTTAAATTTTCATTTTTGCTTAGAGAACAGAAAAGTAGGACAGTACTTTTTTTTTCTTTTTTCGAATATGTCACGTTTACCTGTTCTTCTCTGGAGAACTCTGTTTATTATAGCTTTTTATGTATCTATCCCTGGTCTTTCGATCTTTATATGATTGTTTTGCTTTGAGAACCATGAGTCGTTCAAGTTCTTGTTGCAGATTATTCTAATGCTACTGCTTCCCGCAAAACTAATGAAACAGAAAGTGGAGTTGGTAGTCTGATAATTTGTTAGTAATGAGTTTACCAACGAGAACTTGTATACGGCTGCCCTCTCACAGGGGATGCATGTGTGGATTCCACCCACTGTGAGAGGGCTGTATAGCAGCGACCGTAAATAATAACTGTCCTTCATACCTCTTCAAGTTTACCTCTTTTGAGATCTTGGAAGTTGTGGGCGATCAAGGTTCAGGGTATGTTGAGGTGGATTTTGTGATAGGGAGCATATTAATTAAGAATCCTAAGAGTTCTTGGAATCCCTATTTTTCAGTTAAGCCATTAATTAAACTCAGATTAGGTGAGACATGGAAGACAAAGACAACATGGTTTGGTTCTGCTGTCTCTCCATTACCGAAAAAGGGGATGTTGAGAGATTTGGTCCAGTGCTGAGTTGGATGTGGACTCACATCATCAACACATTGCCTAAGAGATTATGTCCACGTATGGAGAACTTGCATATCATGATGTATACCTGACGTAAAAAATAGCGAAAGGTAGGTGTACACCTGCAAGTTTTTCTTGTAAAGGGGTGAGCACGGAAATAGTCGGCGGCTAGAATGCTTCGCTTGTGTTCGTTTTTGTCTAAGTTGTAAAAGTTATATCATTTCGAGCAATGGTGGTTGGTGTATGTGTCGACCGTGATGGTCTACCATGAGACTACTACAGTGATATGGGATAGTGGCTAAACATCATCAACTATCTAACATGCTAACAAATGTCTCTTTTCTCGACGTATGAATAAGATGTGACTTAAAAGTGGGCGCTTCTCAACTCTTTTTGTGGAGAGCACTACTGAATTAAAAGGTACCAAATATTGATCTATTTCATGTAAATCATCAAAATTAAAAACATATCTCAATTTTTTTGTATTAGTTCGGGCGTGTGAACTCGCACGTCAATGATTTTGATAATGAACATGTGGTGAATTTTATTGCGAGGCATTTAACACGAGCGATTGACACCTAATATTCTCTAATTAGGTAATTATTTGGATTAGAATCATCTTTTATGGAAATAGCTAGTTAGGGTGAACTATTTTTGTAGGTGTAGATTCTGAGATAATATATAGACAAGGACCACATTCAAAGTGGTAGGTTAAAGATGAAAATCATAGCTAGAAGCCTAGAAGAGGGAGACCCTAGGATTCTCTTTTGGAAAGAATCCAGTCACAACTGATTACATAAGAAACGGTAGTTTCCAGTTAATCTGTGTCAATTCGTCCACTTCCAGTCAAACAGTTTGAAATATATCATTCATTTGTGTACTTGAGGTTAATGGAAAAGTATCATCGCCGGATTTTTTTCCTAGAAATTATGATGATCTTGTAACCGTAATTGTTCATTGTATATCGTAAGGTTAATATTTGTTAGGTACTATTTATATTTAATTTTAAATTTTAAATTTTAAATAATTTTTAATCACACGATATACGATGAACAATCACAATTACGGGATCTTCAGGATCCTCAGAAAAAAGATCCGGCAGGATCGTTTTCGGAGGTTAATTATATATTATGATTAGATGTTGGCGACAACAATACCATCTAATCTAGGTCAGCTGAATAGCGTAAAGCACATTCATTGTTCATTAAGACACCTTGTTAATTAATCACTCGTCTTTAGAGAAAAAATTTCGACATAATTGTCGTGTCGTACCCAAGTAATTTTCTATATCGTGTGCGATCAACCTTGTGGGACACAAGGTTGGGCTTTAGATGCTTAGGCATTTTGGCGGATTTTGCTTGGACCACCATTTGCGCTTGCATCTCTAGACCGGTGGAGGAGGAATTTTGGGTCGGAGGGCAAGCTTCACCTCTTCCCCTTGCCTTACACCAACTAGTAGCATGGTCTCATGATCAAATATCGAGTGATACATACTAAAAATGGATACAACAATATAAGTTTTTTCCTATTAAGTGTGGTCCTTTTTGTGAATCCTAGAACGTCAATGTGCTCAATTTTACATAAAGTCTTCAATCGTAGAACGCCACTGTGCTCAATTTTGCGCTAAGTCTTCCGTTAGCTTCAAGTGCTCCATATATTTTTTATGGTTTCTTTCACAATCTTCTTCTACCCCTTTTGTCTTGAGTTTGTCTCACAATCACATCTTTTAACCGGAGCATATAGGTCTTCAATTCACGTGTCCAAACTATCTTAATTGATTTTCTCTCATTTTATCTTCAATTGCAGCCAATTCTACTTTACCTCGGATAGTCTCTTTCCTAATCTTATCCTTTCTCGTGTGTCCATACATTCAACGAAGCATTCTCATCTCCGCTACACTCACTTTTTTCACTTGTTGTTTTTTGACCGCCTATCAGTCCATGCCATAAAGCATCATTGGCCTTATTGTTATCCTATAAAAAAAATTCTGTGAGCTTTAGTAGCATACGATGATCGCACAACACATCTGATGTACTCTTCCACCTCATCCATGTAATTTGTATTCTATGGTTGAGATCTCCATTTAATTTTTCGTTATTTTACAAGATAGATCTAAGATAACGAAAACATTCACTCTTTAGTACTTCTTGATCTCCAATGCTCATCCCTATCTCATTTGGCCGCCATTCCTACTAGAAATGGATTATTTCATTAATTGGAATTAGGAAAATAATCATTTTTACTAAATTTGGAAAACGTTCATGTTTTTAATTAAGATAATTTATCTCTACTAATTAATGAAACCCTCTTTGTCAACCAAAAGAGGGTGAAAAGACAATTTAGTCTTATATCACACAAAAAAAATGATGGGCAATAATGTAATTTCACAAGTCCAATTTTACTTTTTTTAATTGAAGCCTACATGTGATGTTAAAATATCTTTAATATTTAAAATTAAATTAAATTAAATAAAAAAAAACCAAAAATGAAAACCTCCCACTCCCCCCACATCTCTCTCTCTCTCTCTGTTCCTCTCTTCTTCTCATTTTCTAAAAAAATGTGTTCATACACACAAAGTGTGTAGGCAAATGCTAGTGTTTAATTAAGATATCTTATGTCTCACTTATTATTTAGGGTTGGTTGTTTAATTTATTAATAAAAAAAAATGTCAATTTGGTTTCGTTTCCTAATCAACCCTTGTTAGATTGAAACCTCTTTTGTTTAAATATTTTGATCGAGATCCTTAACATCGTTTAAGAGATTTAACTCATAAATTTATGCATTTAAAGTCCCACAAAATATGAAATTTAAACAATTCAAATAATATTTTTAAAATAGAATAAATACTTAAAAATAAATATCAGAGTAATATTGTTCTTCACAAAATTATAGCAAGAAAATAATGAACCCACGTAATTATTAACATATTTTAAAAAATAACTACTGATATATTTTAAAACATAAAATAAATACATGTAATTAGCATGGGTACATTCAGTAAAATTAAAAATGGGTACAAATAAGTTAAAAAATATGGGTACAAATACAAATAAAATTTTGAAAAATATGGGCACAAGAAGAAATTAATATATGGGTACACATTAAAACTGAAAAGAAAATTGGTACAAATTAAAAAATGCTTGCAAATTAAAAATGGATACAAATTAAAAATAAAATATATGATAAAAATTTAGCCATAAATATAAATATACCAAATATAACATTTCTAACACTAAATGAATATGTTTAAAAATAAAAAAATATTTTATTATTGAAATAATTAATGACATTTGTGTTTAGATGATGGGAATAAACTTGGAATTTGAATAAAAGTTAGAATTTGTGAATTAACATGCACTAATTCCTTTGTTTGGATTCATAAACATAGGAATTTAGAATTTCCGCATGAAAAAAAAAATTGGAATTTGGGACCTCCAATTCCCAAGTTTAAATTTCATGTAAATAACACTATGTTTGGATGAGAGAAATAAACTTGGAATTTGGATTAAAGTCAAAATTTATAAATTGACAAGCACCAATTCTCTTGTTTGGATTCATAAACATAGAAATTTAGAATTTTTGTGTGAAAAAAATACTTGGAATTTGGGACCTCCAATTCTCAGGTTTAAATTCCACGTAAATAAGTGTCATTTCTCAATTTCTATGATTGAAAGTTTAAAAATAACAAATTTCGTATTCAATTCCATTGTTTTTTTAGGTTAACCAAACAAGAAAATTCACAAATTCTTGAAAATAAAATCTCGTCATTTCAATTTCCGTCATTTTAATCAATGGAGTAACAAAAAGAGGGATGTGAACCTAATTTCTCCTTCTATTTATGTGCCCAAGTTCTTGGTGATGTTAAAACAAGGCCAATTTCTAATGGGTACTGGAAGCAGCTTAGTAACGAACAAGTGCACGTTCAAACGTCCGGCGATGGTGACAGTGCTGTAACTATCGTTATGGAAGGAACGTCAGAATGCCGATGAGGGCTTCATCTGAGATGTGTTTTAAAATTCAGCAATGCTACCTGAATCCAGAGCTGGAGCCTACAAGGCTGATTCTGACAGGACCATATCTCGGATGTTCTTCTAAGTACCTGTGTGTTTGTGAATTCATAGACGAGGAGTCGGAGTTGAGAATGAAACCGAAGGGCGAGGTAGCCTCATCAGCTAAGTTATCTTGTCGGGAAATCTGCATGTCAACCCCAGACCAACATGTGCACTGTTAGATACTCCGGCCGGGTTGTTGGAGTGGAAAAATTCGGGTCCTTTCAATTTTTCAGCTAGTAAATCTTGTAATCCCACATCGAGAAGCCAAACACCATCTTCGCTTGCCATCAATGAGGGAGAAGGGGATCTGCAATAAACACTCCAAAACTCAAGTTAGCCTTTGTTCAAAATGATTACATTACATTGTAAAGCGATCTCATACTTTCCTCCTTTTCTCCACGTTTTGGTGGGATTCTAGGCCTTTTATAGGCATAAAAAGCTTGGGCTCCAAGTCCCATTATCCTCCATGTTCTTTAGT